ATCTAGTCATCTGTTTCATTTCTACAAAACATTTTCTCTTCTTCTTCATGTCATGTCTTGTTCTTTTTTTTTATTGTAATCAATAATGTAAAGTCATTTGAAGAATTATTTTTATTGATGAGAACAAACAAATGTATAATCCATTTTTTGTTCAATTTTATAATATATATCTCTATATAGTATTTATCAGTTTTTATTTTTATTCAAGAGTTATAACATTATTATGATTATTCTAACGGATTATTATTTTTTATTCTCTTTCTTTTTTATTTCAAGGTCAAAAAAATAGAATAATTAAACGGCTATACATAATATTTATACATATGTAAATAAATAATAATAATACAAGTTCAAATATTTTTTTTTTGATATGGTCAAGTTAAATATACATGTTTGTAATATTTATATATACTATGAATATCATTACGAAAATTAACATTAGAAAATGAATAGATTAGTGGATTACGCTAGAAAGAAAAAAAGAATCAAGAATGTATTTTCTAAATTTGTTTTTATTTTTTAGACTTATTGCACTATTAATATAATAGAGTAAAAATAAAACTTCACGAAATTCATATGATTTTATATTAAATAATGTAATTATAATTGATGGTAAATACATAAGAATAAAAGTTGCAGTCATAATATATAATGTGAATGTTGTTCGAATATTTGCTAAACGTTTTTGTCTTTGTTGTCTTTCAAATACACGTTGAGTTTCTCCATCAAATCCTGATGTTCGACGTTTTGATGAAATCGAGTCTCTTATTGTTGGATCAATTGAATGTTGATTGTTTATATTAATTATTATTTGTTGATTTGTACTTGGTGCATCTTCAATAATACAACAATTAGTAGTTTCTTGCGAATGTCACTATTGAAAGAAGAAATCTTCGGAGTATTTATTATTGTTTTATAATTAATTAAAAGAAATACGAGATTCAAAGAAGTCAGCTATCGGATTTTTTAAGCACACCGTAAAATACTCAATAAATCTCATCCGCGCATCTTGGTCTTTTAGAAATTATATTATTATCTTTTAGGCTTGTCAGATTATTAGTGTCCCTCAGCATCAATGTATTTGCATATTCGAATAAACCAATTATTGAAATAATTTTTGAAATCGTCTTTTCTAAAGTTGTCAATAGTTTGTTCTAACGCATTTATCATTGTGTTGTCGTGATCGAACTGAATTCCACGTGATTTATTCTTTTAGTTTTGGAAACAACAAAAAAAAACTTGCCAAAATATGTCATATGTTTGGTTAAGGATATATCGTGTTTATTCTTTCAAAATAAAATTATGTTAATTGGTGATCTTTATATATAATCCATCACCTTTCTTTATGCAATTCCATATCATTTTTCGAACATTTTTAAAATGATTTTCATAAGTCCAATGGTGTTTATCGAACGTGTTTGTATTTAATTGGGATCCATGTTCATAAGTTTCAATGTCATACGCATGAGATTTACTGTGTTTGTAAAAGAACAAAAAGGGAAAGTATTGGGTTGGTAAGAAATTTTGTCATTTTTTTTCGTAACTTCGTAGAACAGTCAAGAAAGTTCTAGAAGTTTCCATACTAAGGGTATATAAAGGGAGTGTAAATATCTTTCGAACAACAATAAAACTATGGATATACAAGGTGTCCCAGAAGTAAG